TCCCCATTCCCTGGGGGTGGGGGAGGGTGAGAGAGCAGCCATGTGTGGCGTTTAGTTGCCGGCAGGGCTAAACCACGACACTTCATACTCCAGGTAAGACACTTAAACTCTTTGTCTGTAACCATGACACTGAAGAAGGAAAAACAATTTGTTTGGGCCAGTTCTCATGCTCACTTACCATTAAGCCAAGGTATCGCATACTCTGTTCTCAGAGGGCTCTGATGAGAGTGCCGTGAAATGATAGGTTCGCTTCCCAAGAAATTGTACGAAGTCCCAGAATAAAGCTCCTCATCTTTAACACAAAACCAAGTATTTTAGACTTTCTTATACACTGGATACTGAAAAGGACACATACGTATTTCGAGAGACTACGTAAGTTTAAACTTCCCACAAGAAAATATAAACAAGGATTTCCTCTAAATTGCCCCAGATATGTCTTCTATGTATACATTTCTGCTGACCATTCTCAAGGCTAACACTTCCAGGCTTGGGTTTATTATTGCTTTAACACAAGCAACTGGGAAAAGTCAGCACTACTTCTGCAGTACTTTGAGACTTCAAATGTAAACCTGAAATTTATGTACAAACACGCAAATTTACTTAAGAAATGCCACAGAAATTTCAGAAGTAATTATTTTACTCTCTTTCTACGCCACCATTACTCAAACTCAAGCTTTTAAGAATTTAGGCAACAATGCAGGGAGTGTGTTCTTTTCTTTCTCGTTTCCTGTTTCATGTTACATGGAGCTTCTCTTTTATGATCTTGTGACACTAGGGAACAGCGATGAACTCTGGTTTCAACAGATCAAGATTCAGTGGTGTCTAATCATGCAGTAATACACTCATAATAAGTACCGCACTTCCCTATTCTGTCTCATGGATATGTCTCCAGGACAGCTAAAAAATTCTACTTGTTAAATTTACTGAAATGACAGTAATCAATACCACAAAGGCAGCCTAGTCTACATTTAGACTACCTGGACTAAATACGTTCAACACCCATAAATACAGTTTAAAATTTAGTATTTCAAAAGTTGCTTCCAAAACAACCTAGAGTTTTAAGTTCTTTTTAAGAAATATGCTAAGGTTGACCACACAAGTGTTTCAAAGCCTATCTAGATAACCAGTAAAAATGTAAAAATATGGACAAAATCTACCATTTTGACATTGAGAGACTGAAGAATGACAGTGGAAAAGATCGAATATTTTAATACATAATAATGAGGTATTGTCATGGTTTGATGTGGAGGGG